AAGACAGGTGTTGCTCAAAAAAAAAAAAATCAAAAGACAGGAGGAGAAAGGAGAGGTTGGTGGTGGCTGGTGGGGCGATGGCAGCGCCTGCGGCGGCGCTGCGAGCCGTGCTGGCGCGGGCGGGGATGGCGGCGGAGCGGTCGGGGCGCGCCGCGGAGGCGGTCCGTGTTGTGGCGGCGGGGAAGACCAAGCCCGTTTCGATGCTGCGGCAGCTCTACGACGCGGGCGACCGCTGCTTCGGCGAGAACTACGTGCAGGAGTTCGTCACCAACGCTCCCCAGGTCCTGATCTTGTCTCCAGTTCGATTGCGTCGTTGGCTCTGCAACTTTGCAGCTCATCCCTCGCGCGGAGATGGGGCGAAATGATTTGCTCGATCTTACCGTGTGTTTGCAGCTTCCAGAAGATGTCCGGTGGCATTTTATTGGGCACCTGCAGAGCAACAAAGTGAAACCGCTGTTAGGTATGCATGTTGTTAGATTGATCTCTCAAGCCAATAAGTCTAACGGTCTATTGCATCTTGGTCACGCGTTCTGATCGGGAGCGTCCAACCCTACATATTTGGTGGGCTCCCGTCACACTGCGCTATATAAAGTGGTAGGGGCTAGCGGCTCGAGATACGAGGTTCACCGTGAGCCGCAAACCCCACCGACAAACCCTAGACCGATCTGAGAGGGCCGCGAGCCCGCCGACGGGAAGCTCCATCGACTTCTTCGCCGTCCATCGCGCCACACCGTCTGTCTGCCTTTGCATCGACGTCTCAGGCCACCTCTACTCCACCCGTCATTTGCCTGGGTCATGAGACCTTCATCACCGAACACGAGATGGCGGTTCAGTTCATCCGCGACTCCTCCAAGGGCTCAAAGTTCAACACCAACACCTCTCCTATCTCCCCTCTGTTCATCTCGTATTCAAAAGAGAAAAACCCCTAAGATCTACTGCTAGAGATCCTAAATGTTCTTAACATTGGTATCGGAGCCACGGTTTAGGTATAGATCTGGCTTAAGAAATAGAAATCCAGTGTGGATCTAGAATGTAGAAAGGGGCTTCGGCCGACAAAGGGTTCGGTTGAACCTAACCTCGATCCTTCGGATCCGAGAAAGGATGAAAGAAAACCTAACCCCTAACTCTAGATCGGGTTCGGAAAAAGAAAAGAAAAGATACAACCAAACCCTAGATCGGGTTTTGGGACGGAGATGATAACATGGTTTCAACTGAAACCGAACTTCAAACCGTCACAAGAAATCAATTGAGGGAAAAGACAACAATGGCCATCCCAAACCCTAACCCTAATGGAAATCGGATGAAATCCGAACAAACGAATCAAAAGAAAGGGAAGAAAGGAAGGGGGTGGCCTACCTACGCTGCGATGGCATCAGAGTGAATCCTGCTGCTGCCTTGAGGAAGAAAGGCCGGCTTGGGGCACTCCTTGCGGAACAGGCCTAACGACGCCGTGGTCAAGGCCACTCCACTTGGCGGGCGCGGCCACCCTCTGAGGGAAGCGCGACGCTTGGCGTAGGGGCCGGGCGACGGCTACTGGTTTCGCTGCTGTTTCTCGCCATGGATTGCTCGCTTTCGCTTTCGGTGATCGATCGAGGAGAAGAGATAGCGATGAGGCGAAGAGAGAGAGAGAGAGCCTTGAATGCAAATGGCCGCTAAGGTTGGTGACCGCGCGTCGGTAGCGTGTTTTTGTTCACCGAAGACGCCGCCTTGAGCCGTCCGTCGGGTTCTAACGACGCCAGATGTTTCGGCCGTACGACGCGATCACAAGCGGGGCGCCATGATCGACCAGCTTTTACCCAGCCAGCCCAGTTGCGGCCTGGGTGCGGCGAAGCGTCACAAGGAAGTCAAAATTGGAGCCGTTTGGTGTTGGGCCAATAGAAAAGGATTGGCCGGGGGGCCATCTATTTGGGCACATTAAGCGTTAGCATGGGAGGCTCCATGGTGGCCGCTCGTCGGCGTTCTCAAGCGAAATGGCATATACACAGTATAGCTCGTGATTTTGTTTATTTATTTTTTCAGAAACTGTTTACTTCATATTTGATGAGGTTTTGAATAGAATTTGATGTAAATCTCTGGCAATTTTGTCCAACGATAATTTTGTTCGGAGAACTGTATAATATTCTAAGAGTTTCTGGAAAATAGAATTATGAGATTTATTAAAGTTTCCGCTGCGTATTTAAAGTTATTATGGACTTTTAATTAAATTCGAATCAACGGGAGAATTTAATTTTGGAAATGGATATGTTTTAAATTGATTATAATGTTGTTATTATTCTGACCAACGTTGATTAATAGCAATATTATAATGTTGATGTTATTATGGTTTTTTGTTATGCATTATTTCTATTTCTGCCCAACGGTGATGTAGATTTAATGTATAAAACAATTGTATGTTTTAATTTTGATCAACGTTGAACTAAGACATGCAATTGTTGTCGTTATTATTTGTGTTCTCACACTATTTGAATTGTGTTTTCAGGCGGATACAACTTGAGTTGTATCAAAGAGATCCCCACTCTAAAAGGGGATAACTACATTGAATTGAAGAAAAAGATCGACTTGGCCTTCATATTGACTGAGGTGGACTGGGTAGTCACCACACCGTGTCCCAAAGAACCTATGGCACCGGTGAGGGAGACAGATGAGACTGATGCTGCATGGCAGAACAGAGAGCGGGACTTTGCTCCCGTAAAGATGTCTTTTGACCTTGAATATAGAAAGTGGGTCACAACCAATAAGAAATGTTTGGCTGTGATAAAGAATACAATTGAGCCTGCAATAGTGGGCTCAATTTCAGACTGTAACACGGTCACAGAGTACCTAGAAAGAATAAAGAGTCAATTCACTGGCTCTTCAAAGACATATGCAACCCAGCTGATCAAGCAGCTGGTCACAGAAAGGTACTCTGGTGGCGACAGTGACATTAGAGAGCACATACTGAGAATGAGCAATTTGGCATCTAAGCTCAAACTAATGGATTTGACACTCAAGGATGAGTTTCTTATTCATTTGATTTTTGCTTCTTTGCCCAAAGAATTTGACACATTTGTTGTTAATTACAACATACAGCCTGAAAAATGGGATTTAGAAAAGCTCATAGCCATGTGTGTGCAGGAGGAGGAAAGAATAAAAGTTTCACAGGGTGGTACTGTCAACTACCTAAAAGATAAGAAAAAGAACTATAATAACAGCTCTTCCTCCAAGTCATCTGGAAAGGGACCCATGCAACAGTCTTAGAACAAGCAATTCCCAGTGGATAAAGACCAGTGTCTCTACTGTAAGAAGACGGGACATTATAAGAAGAATTGTCCCGATTTCTTAAAGATGATTATAAAAAATAAAGGTGAGAACATTATTACGTTCGTAAATGAATCCTTGTATGTCAAGTTTTCAAAATCTACTTAGTGGATTGATTCAGGTGCAACTATTCATGTTGCTAATTCATTACAGGGATTCCGTTCGATGAGAACTTTGCAAAGAAGCAAAAGTTTCATTAAAGTCGCAAATGGAGTACAAACAGATGTTGAGGCCGTTGGCGATCTTCCACTCGAGCTTGCTGATGGCTTCATACTTTTTCTTAGAGATGTTTTATGTACCTTCTTTGCAAAGAAACTTGATTAGTGTATCAAAGTTGGACCATGATGGTTATGATTGCCATTTTGAAAATGGCAAATGTCAGATATTGTTTAATAATAGATGTATTGGTCTTGCCTTCCGACAAGACGAGCTTTATTTGTTATCACTTCGTGAAAATGTGAATTCCGTATGTGATGTGAATGAGAATGTATCCTCATCGAACAATGCAAACAGAAAACGAAAGAGAGCTTACGATGCATTATCGAAATTATGGCACTGTCGTTTAGGCCATATTTCGAGGGAGAGAATAGAAAGACTAGTTAAGAATGATATTCTTCCTCCATTAGAGCTCTCAGATTTAGAACAATGTAGAGATTGCATAAAATGAAAGTATGTAAAGAAAATTAAGAAAGATGCCAAACGAAGCGCAGGAATTCTATAGATTATTCACATAGATATCTGTGGTCCTTTTCCTGTAAAGAGTGTGGATGGTTTTGATTCATTCATAACATTCACAGATGATTACTCCCGTTATAGCTACATTTATCCAATTAAAGAAAGAACAGAAGCGTTGGATAAATTCAAAATATTTAAAGCAGAAGTTGAAAATCAACACGATTTAAAGATTAAGATAGTCAGGTCTGACTGTGGGGGGAGCACTACGGTCGGCATACCCCATATGGACAAGTTCCTGGACCTTTTGTAAGGTTCTTATAGGAGAATGGTATAGTCGCCCAGTATTCAACACCGGGCGAACCTCAGCAGAATGGAGTAGCTGAAAGGCGTAACCGTATCCTGATGGATATGGTGCGTAGTATGATAAGTTACTCCACTTTACCACCACTTTACCGATGAGTCTGTGGATGGAGGCGTTAAAAACCGCCATTCATATTCTCAATAGAGTACCAAGTAAGTCGATGCCCAAAACACCGTATGAGTTGTGGACAGAAAGAGTACCCTCACTTAACCACTTGCGTGTGTGGGGGAGCCCTGCTGAGGCGAAAGTTTTTAACCCAAATATTGGGAAGTTAGATCCCAAAACAGTGAGTTGCCATTTCATTGGCTATCCAGAAAAGTCAAAAGGTTTTCGTTTCTACTGTCCAGATAGACATACAAAGTTTGTAAAAACGAGACACGCTGTCTTCCTAGAGGATGAAATGATGAGGGGGAGCATGGTAGCTCGAGAAATTGACCTTGAAAAGAAGCGGGTGTATGCACCCACTCCGATCATTCATGAGCAATTTTTCTCACTACCTGCTGTTGCTGCACCGACAGTACAATGCCAGCACCTGTTGTTATCCCGCCTGTGGCAACAATGAATGATGAGGAGGAACATGTCCCTCGGGATCCTATAGAACATATTGCCACACATGAGGGGGAGCAACAACAGCCTCAAACAGAAAATGTGCCAAATGAGGAGGCCCCTAGAAGATCTCAAAGAATTAGAAAATCAGCTATTCCTGCTGATTATGAAGTGTACAACACTGAGGAATTTTAAATGGAGGATGATCCCACCTCGTTTGAAGAAGCCATGAAAAATGATCATTCATCAAAGTGGCATGAGGCCATGGAAGATGAAATGAGATCAATGAATGTAAATAAAGTTTGGGATTTGGAGATAATTTCTAAAGGAGCCAAAACAGTAGGCTGTAAATAGGTCTACGAAACAAAACTTGACTCTCAAGGAAATATAGAGAGATATAAAGTCCGACTTGTGGCAAAAGGCTTTACACAAAGAGAAGTGATTGATTACAATGAGACATTTTCTCCAGTCTCATGTAAGGATTCCTTCAGAATCATAATGGCATTAGTGGCACATTACGATTTAGAATTACTTTAGATGGATGTAAAGACGGCATTTCTCAACGGAGACTTAGAGGAAAATGTTTACATGGCATAACCGAAAGGTTTTGTCATGGAAGGAAAAGAATATTTGGGATGCCGCCTAAAGAAATCCATTTATGGATTAAAACAAGCTTCAAGACAGTGATACTTGAAGTTTGATCAGACAATAAAGAATTTTAGGTTTAAAGATAATGTTGAGGACAATTGTATCTACGCAAAGTTTAAGAATGGGAAGTATATCTTTCTTGTCCTGTATATGGATGATATCTTACTTGCTAGTAGTGATGTCAGTCTACTACTGGAGACAAAGAAGTTTTTGTCCTCAAAATTTGATATGAAAGATCTTGGTGAAGCTTCGTTCGTTCTAGGGATCGAGATTCACCGAGATAAAAGTAAAGGGGTATTAGGACTATCACAACAAGCATACATAGAAAAAGTCTTAAAGAAATTCAGTATGCACAAATGTAGTCTCTCACCTGCTCCTATAGTCAAGGGCGACAGATATGGGGATTTTCAATGCCCTAGGAACCAATATGAGATCGATCAAATGAAAGTGGTTCCATATGCTTCAGCTGTCGGAAGCTTACAATATGCTCAAATATGCACGCGCCCTGACTTGGCATTTGTTACCGGGTTACTTGGCAGATTCCAGAGCAATCCTGGAATAGAACACTAGAAATTGGTAAAGAAAGTCTTGCGTTATTTGCAAGGAACGAAAGGCCTCATGATGACGTATAAAAGATCTGATTCACTCCATATAGTGGGATATTCAGATTCTGATTATACGGGAGATAATAGAAAATCCACGTCTGGATATGTGTTCACTCTCGCAGGGGGAGCTATTTCATGGAAAAGCTCAAAGCAAACCGTCACTACATCGTCCACAATGTATGCCGAGTTTGTAGCGTGTTATGAGGCAACGGGGCAGGTGAACTGGCTAAAGAAGTTCATACCCAGTTTGAAGGTGGTTAACGACATCAATAGACCACTGAAGTTATACTGCGATAATAATCCAGCAGTACAGTATGCTCACAACAATAGGTCAAGTGGTGCTGCCAAACACATTGACATAAAGTATTATGTTGTGAAGGATAAAGTTCGGGATCAAATGATAAGTCTTGAGCATATAAGTACCGAAAAGATGCTCGCGGATCCGCTTACAAAAGGCTTACCACCCAACGTGTTCAGAGAACATGTAGCCGGCATGGGTTTAAGGGAAAGCCTATGATTCCTGGACTATAAAGGGCCCAAAAGTTAAAGTAACTATTTCAGATCAGAGACGTGCATTGTAGCTGTTAAATCTATCGGCGATTGATCGTGACGATGAAACATGCTCTATGCATCATCTGTGAAGAAATGAGTAAGGATAAAATGATTGAAGTTTAAAGTTTAAAGATAAAAGTAATAGTGTGAGGTCAAGGGGGAGAATGTTAGATTGATCTCTCAGCCAATAAGCCCAACAGCCTATTGGGCCTTGGTCACGCGCCTTGATCGGGGGCGCCCAACCCTACATGGTTGGTGGGCCCCCGTCGTACTACGCTATATAAAGTGGTGGGGGCCGGCGGCTCGAGGTACGAGGTTTACCGTGAGCCGCAAACCCCACCGACAAACCCTAGACCGATCTGAGAGGGCGCGTAGCCAGCGACGGAAAGCTCCACTGACTTCGCCGTCGTCACTGCCACACCGTCCGTCTGCACTGCATCGACGTCTGTGCCACCTCTACTCCACCCGTCGCTGCCCGTGCGCAGACCTTCATCACCGAACCTGAGATGGCCGGCTCCAGTTCATCTGCGACTCCCTCCGAGGGTTCAGGTTCAACACCAACACCTCTCTCCTATCTCCCCCTCTGTTCATCCCGTATTCAAAAGAGAAAAACCCCTAAGATCTACTGCTAGAGATCCTAAATGTCCTTAACACATGTATGTTTCAATTCTATGCACAATTAAAGAATAAGTTAGCTTGCATCAACAAAGTTATAGACGCCCTTCAAGAAGAAAAGCTGGTCTGTTCAGAAGTAGTTAGAAACTGAAGTTCTAAATGTTGTGATTATTTACGACATGTTTGGTTGCTGAAATGGTATTGGAAACGCAAAGGGAATATGATTACGCGGGAAGACGACGAGTCCGTAATCGGATTACATGGGGGCTAGAGCTGTATCAGCTTTGTACAGTATGGTATCTGATAACGGCGGTACTCGATTCCACGAGGCCGGAAACAAACATTAATTAATGGAATCAGTTACCGGCAGTAATCGAATCACGTTACATTGACGTGAACCAAACACTACGTTAGTGCTTGCCACTTGCGTCACCTTGTAATGAATAGTTAGTACTGGAAAGCCGTTCTTGCTTAGCACCATCATGACAATTGGTAGTAATACGTACTAAGCAGTGTACAGTATATGAAAATGATAAGAGTAATATCAATACAATTCTTTCATAGTGTTTTTCTCGACATCATCTATCTTTTGTATTGCCAGAATGCCAGCTAAGCCTTGTCTCTTTCTTTTTTTTCAGCTGCTGTTCCAAATCTTGATGTGGTTGAGGGTGTAGATAATGAAAAGGTAAGCAATCAGCAACAAGTACTGTTCCTTTTATTATGTATCTCATGTCTGTACAAAAGATGAAGACTAATATATAGCTTAACGCTTGTTAAGTTGTTATGCAGACTCAAATTCTTGTACCTGTTACCTACGATTGTATGTGGATTTCTTTATTAACACATAGAGTCCACATTTTTCAGATTGCTAACCACCTAGATCGAGCTGTCAACTGTTTGGGAAGGGAGCCTTTGAAAGTTTTGGTTCAAGTGAACACTAGTGGAGAAGAATGTGAGTGCAGAATCAATATTGATAAATCAGAACTCTTATCTCTTGATTAATTTACCCAGATAAAGCACTTGTGCTATTTGTTTCCTTGTTTGCCTTGATCTGATAGATTATTATTATTGCTATTAATTGGTTTTGCAATTAATTTTGCTAAATGAGAAGTCAGTTTATTACTTCAGAAGCATACCCTAAATTACAAGTGAGCTTGTGGCCAAGTTCAAATCATTACCATTCTGCAATGTTCACATTTATCTTTCGTATAATTAGCTTATCATTCTGCAATAGCAGGTTCATGGACTAAACATTTTCTTTTGTTCAGCTAAATCTGGAATCGACCCCTCCAGGTGTGTCGACCTTGCTAAGCATGTGAAACTAGCATGCCCACACCTAATATTTTCAGGTCTGATGACAATAGGAATGAAAGACTACTCGTCAACACCAGAAAATTTTAAGGTGCTTATGCAGTCTTACTTCATCACAAACGACAACGAGCAATCTGCCAATCTGTGTTGGCTTTCATAACCTGTTGTTTTAAGTGCTTTGAATGCAGGCATTGGTGAATTGTAAGCTTGAAGTTTGCAAGGCCCTTGACATACCAGCAGAACAGTTTGAACTCTCCATGGGAATGTCTGGTGACTTTGAGCAAGCGGTTTGTAATATAATCATTCATTCTTTGCAGAGGAACATTGAAACAAGACCACGAAATTGGGTTTTGCTACACACTATAGGACTCCTGGAGTTCCATTAACTAATGTTAACTTTATGCAGATTGAGATGGGCAGCACGAATGTGAGGATTGGATCAACCATTTTTGGACCAAGGGAGTATCCAAACAAAAAGCAGAACTTGTGAGATTCAACGCATAAGTGTCATCTCAATACCCAATCCTCTTGATTAACCTTTTGCCTTTGTAAGCAAGATGCAATGTATAAATGCACATGTGAATAGGTAACATGTACAACTCCATACAACACTGTTTGCGGGGGAAAAAAAACCTCCATACAACAGTACAACACTGTAGAAGAAAATTTGTGACATGATCTTGAATAGTATCTCTAATACTTTCCTTCATAAAGTTCTTCCTTTTCTCTGCATGATGATTGCTGCTTACCTGCAGATTTTAATTAGGATTTTACTTCTATGCAGTCCAAGGACATGTAATTCTATAGGCCTCCCTGGCTCCCTCACCTAATTTGTCGAATCTTCCCTAGTATTACGCATTTGGTTATGTTTTCCTTTGTTGCTGATTTGTACTTCTCACAACATCATGTTCCGTTCCGGAGAATAACCATTTGTGATTTAGACATCAGGAAAATATTAGTTAGGACATTAAGCTGTTCTTTTGTACTTTGTAAAGAATGAAGATGCAAGGATAACAGCATGGTAACTTGCAACAAACGCCTTGTACCTTGTCAATTGAGTTACAAACATGGCTCAGACCAGCGCCAAGTACCAACTACCAAGCATACTTGATTTGTGCACACATGAAATAAGGTTAGTTGACTCTATGAATACGAATTGAAGCACACGGATACAAGCTACTATCAACAATAAGTAAAACACGGACACCAAGGTTATATTTTGTGTTCTCGTTTAAAAAAGTAATCAGAAGTAGGGGCGCAAGAATTCTTCCTTTTTTTTTACGATAATGTTGTGGGTAGGGCGTCCGTTTCATCCGGACGCGTGTTGGTAGGCCTCGACGAATGGCCCAACAGGCATGGAAATTAAAAAAAAAATCACCGCTCTCACTTTCTTCTTGAATCGCCGCTGTTTCCCATCCATTCTCAAACCAACTCTCCGCGCCTGCATCGCCGCGACTTGCTCCACCGTGACCGCGCTGCCGCGCCCATACTGCTGCCCCGAGCGTTGCTGCCTGCTTTCTTGTCTCCCCACCGTCACTCACCACTCGCCGCCGAGTTCTTTGAGCCAACGTGGCGTGGTCTACGACGACTGCTCCACGCACGACGTTCTTCACCACGCCCAACCGCTTGCCTGCCGCCATCCTCCCTCTCCACTTCACCCAAGCGCCACTTGATGGCTACCGCAGTTCCTCACCAGGTAGGCCATGTCTGTCGGCAGCACCATGCTTTGTTTCAAGTGTGTTTCATAAGTTGTTTTCAAGTGTTTCATCTATATGTTGCGTATGTTGCAGTGGTTATATACATATGGTGCAAGTATATGTTTCAAACGTATGTTTTACGCGTTTCATTTGAATGTTTCATGTGTTTGATGTTGCATATGTTGCAATGGTTACACACATATGTTTCAAGTGTATGTTTCATCTGTTTTGGACGTATGTTGCAAATGTATGTTCCAAATGTTTCGGCTATTTCAGATGCATGTTTCATGTGTTTTCATCTAGATGTTGCAATGTCTATACAAAAATGTTTCAATAGTATACTGCATATGTTGCAACGGTCTGACGGATGTTGCAGAGGAGACGAGACATTTGGACGGGGACCGGGCGCAGCCGAAACAGAGCGCGACGGAGGATGGGGGCGCGGTAGGGATGGCGCCACGGTGGGGGGAGGAGCGCGGCGTGGCAGGGAAGCAGCGCGGCGGGCTTGACGCTGGGGGCACAACCGGGATGGGGATCGAGTCGCGAATGGTCGGACGCGGTCACTATTGTGGGATCTGTCGTGGGTGGCCGCACGCAATTTGCTGGTGCTTGATCTGATGCGAGCGCGGGGCGTCCGATGCGAAACAGTTACGCGTCCGGCCGCTAGCCCAGCCGTTTTTTCTACGATGAGGGGGCGCAAGACTGCTAACATACGTGGATAGGGCTGAGTGGGCCGATTCCGTATGGGGAACTTTCAATTGGCTGGCCCGTTAGATCTGTTCGGTTCCTGGGCTTCCCAATTCCACTCCAGCACTCCACCACCGCCTCCCCGACCCCCCAATCCCCTCGCCGCCGCCTGCTTCTCCACTTGCCAGAGACGCCGGCGGAGGCGCCGCGCGCTGAGGCAGACGGGTCGTCCGTTTTCCTCGGTGAGCATAGCGCCCAACAGATCACACCCTTCCTTCCGTTTCAGACCTCCCGCGGTCTCGTCTCAGGGCTCAGGCGCCGCCCCGGCTGCAGGTTGGAGTTTCTGAATGGCCAGCCCCGGGGATGCGGAGGGCGTCACCACCTCCATGGGGGAGCTGAGCGTAGAAGCAGCGCCTTCATCAGGAGGGAACGAAATTGCCCAATATGGTGAGTATCCCGAACAAGGGGGAAACCGTGTGCTTTCATAACCATGCGTTGTTTGCTTAATCTTTTTTTTATCATGTTGTTTGCTTAATCAGTAGTACTGCTTGCTGTAGTTTTATCTCGTGTCTGAACTTAGTTGATTTATTTATGCAAAACTTTGTCCCAGCTAATGGCGGTGATGTTGCCGCTGTCGACCAAGATGATGTGGGAAGATGTTTCAGATTCTCATGGGCATGCGTCTACCTTAGACAGAGAATGGGTCCACAGGCAGAACCAGTTTCAAAAGGTACTAATTACCCTAGAGTTTATCCGGAACACAGTTGTTAATGCTAACTACTCTTCTGCAGTTTTTTGCTGATAGCAGAAATGTTTAAATTGATTTTACTCTAGATGGGTTATCGGGATGGTATAACAGAAGGGCAGAAGGACTCTGCCCAGGAAGGCTTCAATGTTGGGTTCAGGCAATCTGTAAACGTTGGCTACAAGTGGGGCCTTGTTCGCGGGGTTGCCAGGTGTATATCCTTTCAAGAATAGATTTCGTGTATTACCATTCTCTTCTAGTCTTCCCTCTGATTTTAATTTTTTCTATCTGTGGTCCTTCCAAGCAGTGCATTATCTAGTCTTCCTGATAGCTTGGAAGAAAAACTGGTGCCGGATGTTCAGTGTAGAGGGAAATTACAGGGTCTGCACAGCTCCGTGCAAGAAATATCAGCAGATGACGCTCTTCAGATGTTCCATGAGAGTATTTGCCAGAGCAATCGTCCTTCAGAGGGATCAGGATCACATGTAACATCAACCTCAGATGGAGCTACAGAATCAAATAGGATGAAAAGCCTATCAAAGGATCTTGTGTTGTTGTTGCATGAATGCTCAGATATTAAAGTAAGTGAAGAGGTTGCATGAGATTCATGAACAAGTTGGCCTGGAATTTCAACCACTACGGTCTACGAACTTTCCAAGTCTGGCAGAATCACATTGAGTTTTCAGATTATTGAACATCTACCTGGGCTATATATGAATGTGATTCGGGGATTTTGTTTTCAAAGGATCTGATACTCAAAAGGCTCGAACTTCAGAGACCTAGAATGTAACTGTAAAACCTGTTGTTCCATATTTTGGTCATATTGCCCTTTTGTGAATTGTAACTATTACTCGTATAAAGAAAATCTTGATACAAGCCTCAGGCTCAAAGCATTCTGGTAGTTTCTTAGTATCTCTCATGGTTTAATTCTATCTAAGTTATAACAATGTGGTATGGCTGCAATGTCATGGAAGCAGATGCCCATCACTCTACGAGTATATGGTTGAAGGTTTGAAGGTCTCGTTACCTGCCGGTCTTTCTATGAGATATATATACTGTTTTTCTCATCTTTATGCGCAAAAATTATCACCAAGTACACACTGCACTGACGTGCAGAAAAGTGGTTTCTGCATAGAGTCCCTCCTACCGAAATTGCTGTGGCCTACTGTAACGGTGTTTATGCTGAACTGAATTTTACTCCACCGAAATATACTCAATTTTGATGAGTTGAAACCCTCCTCATCTACTACACCAGAAGTTGCCATGGCCTATTGTAACGTTTGAAGCTGACATTCAGAATGGTCCATGGTGGTTTGATAGCATGGCATGTCAGCGGTGGCCTGCTTCTACTACAAGTTCACAACGGATCGGTGGTTGGATCTGCAAGATGAGTGTCAGCTCTTGGAGTTCGTTATGGTTGGTGGAGCATCAAACCTTGTATCCGTTGTGTTGGTTATGTTTATTCATCAATGCCGTTCATTTTTCGAAAAAACCTATGACAAGATAAATTGGGATTTTCTTATATCCTACCTAAGGCAAAGAGGATTTCATAATCACTCTAGTGCTTGACCCTTTTAGGGCCATTGATATAGTCGGCAACTCTCCTGCTTGATTGTTTTTTTTTTTAAAAAAAGAGAGAAACCTCTCAACTACACCAGAAGTTGCCATGGCTATTGTATCGTTTTTGCTGACATTCTGAATGGTCCACGGGAGTTTGACAACATAACATGTGAGCGATGGTCAGGAAGACGAGTGTCACTCTTTCAGTTCGTTATGGTTGGTGGGAGCATCAAACCTTGTATCCGTTGTGACTAGTGTTTGCCTGAATTGAACCGTTTCATCTGCCTGAAGTTTTCACGGTCTAGTTGCGTAGTAGTTGTGTTTTCAATACTGGTGCCGTTTAGGAGTATTCCTCAATGCTTGATCTACTTTTATCCATTGGAAGCACTTTTGGTTATGTTTATTTATCAATGCCATTCATTCTTGGTGATGAACATCTGACCTGCTCTACCGATTGGTTCCTCCTGATCTAAAAACACACACTAGCCGTACGAATTTGCTGACTTGCACTTGGATTCATCAGGGTTTCCAAGATGTGTTTAAACTCATCAGGAAGCCTGTTCAGAGTGTTCACCAATGAACAGGAGTACAAATCTTTTGGTTTGCAGGCCGTGCCAGGTTTGGCCCATCTGTTTGCATCAGCACAAGACTGCTTACACCCCAATCTGTGATGGTCTACAGTTTCAGTCCAAGATCAGAGTAGGGCTGTTATTGGGTGTTAATAGTAAACAATTAGCTTCATCGATTATCTATGTGTCCTACTATAGTACCTTAATAACGATCATACAACATCCGAAGTATTCAGATATTCAGAAAGTAACACTTGGGTCGAATTGGACTGCAGCTCTTCAATACAAGATGCCGATAAGAAAATCAATGGAATATTCACATAAATCAGGACAAAGAAATTGAAGTTATTATATCCATGTATATGACCAGCATCCGAACCGGGAAAGAAATGCGGTTAATAAGAGCTTTATTAATCTCTGTCTAAAGGAACATCTCAACGTTCTTGCCAGTGCTAGTCTCCTACACCTGTTTCTCATCACTAAACTGAGCACACGAGACATATGTACATGCCTAGGCCCTCCACTAACCCAACTCAGCGAGCTCCTAGTAGCTCAACTATCAATCAGATAAGAAAAATTGTGGTAAGCAATCCTCTGGCACTAAATTGAAGCAACTGCTGAATTAGAACCTTCAGAAGTCCAGATCATGATTAGTTCCAGCCGACCACAAGCTGCAAGACAGATAAAAACAGCGTCAAATTTCAATCAACAACCTTCAGAAGTTCAGATCATGGTTGGTGGAGCATCAAACCTTGTATCCGTTGCGCTGGTTATGTTTATTCATCAATGCCGTTCATTTTTCGAAAAAACCTATGATAAGATAAATTGGGATTTTCTTATATCCTGCCTAAGGCAAAGAGGATTTCATAATCACTGGTGCTTGACCCTTTTAGGGCCATAGATATAGTCGGCAACTGTCCTGCGTGATTGTTTCAAATAAAAAAATTTCTCAACTACACCAGAAGTTGCCATGGCCTATTGTATCGTTTTATGCTGACATTCTGAATGGTCCACGGGAGTTTGACAGCACAACATGTGAGCGATGGTCAGCAAGACGAGTGTCGCTCTTTCAGTTCGTTATGGTTGTTGGGAGCATCAAACCTTGTATCCGTTGTGTCTAATGTTTGCCTGAATTGAAATTGAAACGTTTCATCTACCTGAAGTTGTCACGGCCTACTTGTGTAAGAGTAGTTGTGTTTTCAATACTGGTGCCGTTTAGGAGTATTTCCTCAATGCTTGATCTACTTTCATCCGTTGGATGCACTTTTGGATCCATCAATGCCATTCATTCTTGGTGATGAACATCTTATCTGCTCTACCGATTGGTTCCTCCTGATCTAAAAACACACACCAGCCGTACAAATTTGCTGACTTGCATTTGAATTCATCAGGGTTTCCAAGATGTGTTTAAACTTTCCTAGGAAGCCTGTTCGGAGTGTTCACCAATGAACAGGAGTACCAATCTTTTGGTTTGCTGGCCGTGCCAGGTTTGGCCCATCTGTTTTATCAGCACAAGCAGACTGCTTACACCCCAATCTGTGATGGTCTACAGTTTCAGTCCAGGACCAGAGTAGGGCTGTTATAATTAGCTTCATCAGTTATCTTTGTGTCCTATATAGTACCTTCATAATGATCATAAAGCACCAGAAATATTCAGATATTCAGAAATCAACAATTGGGTCAAATTGGACTACAGCTGTTCAGTATCACTGAAATGTTGGAAATCGGGCATGGCAAAATGAGTTATACGAGATGCCGATAAGAAAATCCATGGAATATTCATATGAATCAGGACAAAGAAATTGAAGTTATTGTATCCATGTATATTGACCAGCATCCGAACTGGGAAAGAAATGCGGTTAATAAGAGCTTTATTAATCTGTCTAAAGGAACATCTCAACGTTCTTGCCAGTGTGCTAGTCTCCTACACTCGTTTCTCATCACTAAACTGAGCATACGAGACATATGTACATGCCTAGGCCCTCCACTAACCCAACTCAGCGAGCTCCTAGTAGCTCAACTATCAATCAGATAAGAAAATAATGGTGGTAAGCAATCCTCTGGCACTGAATTGAAGCAACTGCTGAATTAGAACCTTCAGAAGTTCAGATCATGATTAGTTCCAGCCGAACCACAAGCTGCAAGACAGATAATAACGGCAACAAATTTCAATCAACAATCTTGTACCAAAGGAGAGTCTATTAACAGGGGAATCCTCACCGCTGTTCCTTACCTCTAAAAGGCTATCTATCAGCTACATGCTTGCGAAGTCCATGTAAGAGTGAATGTTCTCTTGTCACCATTATCGTGTTGCTCGGGCTTCTTCTCATTTGCAACCGTGGGCAGAACAGATTCAAAGGCCTGGACAAGCATCTCAACTTTTCTCTTCTGAGCACGAGCCAGTTTCTTTATTTCCTTCCGAAGAGCGTAGTCAACCATCCACTCCTCAGCGGCCCTCCGATCATCCACCGCCTGATGTTTGAGATCAACTTTCTCTGCCTCTGGACCGGTTTCTGCAGGAAGGAAGTTTGGAGGCTTGGGTTTGAAAGGACGAATTTGCTTGACACCCTGTTCGGATGTTCTCCTCCTCCTGGCAATGCTGGACCTGTTCTTCTTCTGAAAGCATGCTTCATAGACGCAAGCAGAGCTAACATCTTCAAAGCTTATCCCACTGAGCGAGCTGGAAATGCTATCGACTGATGATTCCTTTGGAGCATCGCCGACGCCACCTTCAAAATCGCCATGTCGTTGTCGTTCATCAGGCATGAACAATTGCTTCTCGATTCCAACATGTGCACGAGCGGTAGGAATAGAGGAAGCATTGCAAGGAACTTCACCTTCAGGAATGTTTCCTCCATGATTAGCATCCAGCAGCTCCTCGGAGATGTCAGACTTGCAGCCACAGAAGTCCCCGCCTTCATGATCCATCATGACCACCAAGGTCTCCTTCTCTTCACGGCCGCGATGCTCGGTCGTCCCCAACAGCTCTACCGAACCAACCGAGATGACGTCGCTGGACGCGCATGAACTGTCATCCACGGAAGCAGCACCCAAACCCTCCGGCGCGTCCTCCGCAGAGATGTCGCTGCAGCTCACGTCCGAGGTCACCGTCGGCGCGGTGGACCCGGCGCGTATCTCGATGAAATAGCCGCGGCCTCCGGCGGTGCTGGGCTTGCGGAAAGGCGAGGCGCCCTTGAGCTTCATGCTCTTCTGCGTCTTGATGAGCCTCCTCCGCTCCGCCACGAAAGTGCCCAGGGGCGGCGCGTGGGCGTGGCCCTTGAAGGAGCAGTACGCGTACGGGCACGCGTGCGCCGGCCCGTCGGCCCCGAGCCCCTTCATGGCGGAGGAGCACGTGGCCCTGCCCGCGCGCGGCACCGCCGTCAGCGCCACCTTCGCCCTCCCCTGCTGTGGCTGCGGCTGCGGCGCGGCGGGGGCCTCGGAGGCGCCGAACTTCGTCGCCCTCATGTAGTTGGGGAGCGGCGCCGGGGCCATGCCGCCACCGCCACCGCCACCGCCACCCCTGCTTCCCGGGCCAGGGCCACCGCCCCCAGCCGGCACAGCGTCGGGGTCCTTGGGCTTCTTGCGCTCCGGCTTCCTCTGCGCCATGGCGTGGGGGCGTACGGAGGAGGATTCTGGCGCGGTCCGGTTGCTTATCCGAGGGGCGAGGGAAGGGAAGGACAAAGAAGGGGAGGTGGCGGGGCGAGAAGGGGAAGGTTTGGCTGCTGGACGGCGGGCGGGCAAGGGTGGGGGCGAAGGCGAACAAGGAAGGTCAGCCGGTCAGGTGGTGATCGTTGCGAGATTCGGGTGGGGTTGCTGCTGCTTCCTTTGGATTCGGAGGGCGGCGGCGGCGGCGAGTGGATCGGCTCGACGTTTTTGGAATCATCGAAGAGGAGGGGCGATCGGACTCGGAGGGGGCTGGATTTTGAATGCGTTCGCCGAATCTTCTGTGGCCGAGGACCCTGTGCACCCGCTCTCGTGGCCTCCCTTCGTTCTACTCCTCACACCACGAATAAAAAACCAGAGCACTGCTCATCTCATATAGGAGTAGTATAGCTGTTTTCTGGGAAGGTAATCAAGACTGCGTTTTCTGGGAAGGTAAAATTTAACGTTGAGTTTAATTATGTAGATAGTTACTTTACAGTTTATTAATGATGTATGAATTTACTATCCTTAAGCCATATGTAGTAGGAGTTGTATGAGTCAATAAATTAAAGGATTTTCAAGCCTGGATTACATGGTGTTCCATGTTTTGAAACAAAGGCGTTACACTGTTAAACACATTAGCGGTAATATTGAGTTACATCAGTACAAGGATTGCCACTTGTCTTATGGCTGTTTATTTCTTAACCCAGACTACAAAGGATCAACAACAGAAAACAACAACATTGAAAGCAACAACAACGAAAACGACAACCATGGCCGGTTGGACCAAGACACACATGCCACGCAATGCCACTACACCACTGAAGAACACCTCTGTAACACTCTAGCAAACAAACAGGAAGAACACAATGCACCGGCTTGTTCGGCTGGCTGGTGGCTGGCGGGCCAGCCCACTCACGAAATCACTGTTCACGTGAACAATGTTTTCAAACAGAACAGTATTTTTTCTCACAATAATTAGTCGGAACAGTATTTTGGCTTATTTTTCAGTCCTGCCGAACAAGCCCCACAACCACAACCACCACCTCTCCAGAAGCTCCACACCATTGCTCGCCAAGCGCCACATTGCACCACCATCACTAAAAGACGAGGCCAAACAAGTCAACATGCCATTTGTCACTGTCCCACACCGAGCTAGTCACTGCTTGCGCCATTGTTAGTGACGATGTCCCGCACCGAGCTAGTCACCGCCTTGTAGGGCTACGCGCCATCGTTGCCACTTCCGTCGTTTGTCGATGTTG